TCCAACCATTTATCGCATTACAGTTTGACGGGCACTTCTCGGGTAATCCGACATCGTAGCAACTTACTGCCAATGGAACATAGAACGTAATGAAATGCTGACTGGATGACATGACATTAATGACGTTTTGTTTAGGCCAAAATAATGGTCTCTTATGCATCAGTTACCAGCAAGATGAAAGACCAAATAAACCTCGCTAGCAAAAAAAAAAATTCTCATATCAGGTGATATTCAGCTTAACATCAAACCAATTTAATACAAATATAATATCAAGCAATCATAGCGAATATTTTGATATAAATCAACGTGATATTCTTCGATTAGTTGTAATCTTCCAGCAAAAAGAAGTTACTTCTCATATGGCAGCAACAACGGGATTTTTCTTCAGAATCGCATTTTTTTCCATCGGGATCATTTATTTCATTCCCATCGTGATTGGGATATGGTTCAAACGAAGGGTTATCCTTTATGACAGTCCTTCATTACATCTTGGTGAACTGAAAGTTGTATAATGTAGATTCAATAGCTATCTCACAATAGATCGTTGAAGCTGTGTTTAATTTATAGCCACGATTCGTAGAACAAATAGTGCTGCCAGAAATAGATAAACATAGTGCTAATTGTATCGACATACATAATGTGTATTGTTTTATAATGTAAATCACTCGTTCTGCATTTCCTTCAGATGTAAAAGTTAAATCTGCATTCCTTCTACATTATTTTTTTTTCGAAAGTAATTTTGACCTGGAAAAAAAGAATATTTTAATTAAATGTTTTTGCTTTCTGTTTCGATGAAACAACTTCCAACATAAATAGACAATATTGCCAATCATAATAGATAAACTTTTTGTTTTATCTTCGGTGTTATAAAAGTAAGTGTTATAAAAGTAAACGCAAGTTATTCATTTCAAAAGTTTCTAACTGAATGTCTTACCAATGCTTAGCAAAACGTGATACGTTTTACCATGATTATTGCTTTATAATGCTAACTATTTGTTCTAGTATTCCTACTTTACATTGTAGATATTATTTTAATTTTCTAATATTATTTTTAATTTTAAAAACCCTTTTCCTTAAATTCTTGTTTCCGACCTACAACTCCCTTCCAGAATGAGATTTCAATATCATGCTTTATGTAAATGAAGTAGAGGCGATATTTAATGGGGAAGATCAGTCACTGCCATCGCAGAGCTCAGAAGTTCTTAGCAGAATGGGTTCTGCCTTCGGACCACCGCGTTACTTTAAGCCTCTCTTACTACGAAGGACCGTAGTTTTACGTGCCTGTTAGTATTCGCCGCTGATGTTTAATTAGGGCCAACTTGAGCTTCGGCTAAAGTTTAGTTAGTTAGAATTAGGTTTCGTTTCTTATTTTCTCATCTTAAGTGAAAACCCAAGTAGAGGCTTTCCTATAAGCCCAAGAAGGGGCCGACTGTTAGAATTTCTTTGACTGTATGAAAGGAACTTTAACCCTTCTTTGGACATATACAGCTGTAAGGAGACCAGTGAATAGTCGCTAGATACTCCCATAAACATTCTAGTAGCCAAGGACCCCGTATACTTCTTAAGAACAGTTTTTTTTTTCCTAGTAATAACGCACGACTAAAATAGCTAATGTTAGCAAACATCCTATATAGCATATGCAAAATGATTTCTTAGTCACCACAATCCTCAAGATCTTCCGCCACTGGAAAATCTGTGGACTTGTTTGCCGTCACATTCCTACTTCCAACACTCTCCCAAAAGAGCTGAGAAATTGGGTCATCTCTATACGCTCAGAATAAAATTCTAGCATTTATTCGATCATTGCTACGATGGAAATTTTGCACCTATATTTCTACGTCTTTGCAAGGTTTTTAAGACTTTCAAGAACGAAATTGAAAACTTGAAAAAAAATTACTTTAAAAAATACTTTGTTGTCAACCCCAACGAATCAGAAACATAGTAGCCATTCTTTTCCATTTAGCTATTTCAGAATCATTACAAACCGAATTATTCAAAAAAAAAAGCTTTTTAAATCCCTAAGAAGTAATATTTTTTCTGTCCCTACAAATGTATACAAACAAAATATTTCCCATCTTACGAATCGACATTACAGTGACGTCAGAAGTTTGCCTTACGGGACTTTTAAAAGATGGAAAAACAATGGACGATACATCAAATCAGGCCGAAAAGGTTCCCTTGTTACGCAAATTGAAACCACCAAGAAAGAAAAGAACATTTATTCTTTTTGCAGAGAAAGTGCTCATTATTTTTTTACTATCATATATTTATTTATTCACTGCATGTTCTTGTAAACGGATCATAAACTTTCAGCTCGTAGGGAAGACAGTAAGCAAAAAAATGATCAGCGAAGAGCCCTAGGGAGATTTTCTGCATGGTTTATTATGACAGAAATAAAATTTCATAAGAAGATTTACTTCTACGCTATCTGAGGTATATTTACTTCGACAGAAATATCTTTTTTTATATATTTCCAGACAGTTATATATTCTTTCCTTTTTCTGAGATTGAACCTATCTTAGAACAATAAATACTTGTTTTAAAAGAAATAAAAGATAAATATTTGAATCTCATAAAAGATAAATATTTGAATCTGATTTTAGAATTTCATGTCAGAATTTCATGAATTTCATGTAGTTCCATGTCATGTAATATTTGAATTCCTATGAAGTCAGAAATGAAATTTATACATATATTACCTTGTTTAACCTTTGTACTCTTTTTGTAGCATGAGTAATAATTTTCTCATTTTAATAAATTCAGTAATCCTAGGTGATCGTAGCAGAGTAACCATGTAATATGTTAATAATTAAATTTGTGACGTAATACGACTGATAAATGTAATTTAATAACAATATTAATTCTAAAAGTTAAGCCACTTAATTTCTTTTTAATTAACAGAACGTTTTTCTTAAATTTGTGCTACGAGCCAGTTCCCTTAGAAAGTCCTCCACGAAGACATCCTTTCCCTTAGGCAGATAGCCCTCGAGGCTTTGCCATAATCACACATACAATACAATACAATACAATACTTAACTTTGTGCTATAATGATTATAATAATGAATATATTTTCCTTTGCAACGTCTGAAAACGTAATTTAATAGAAACGAAACCAAAATTGGAATATTTAAATGGTTTTGGCAGTGTATGTTAACATTAAAAAGTATTTACTTATGATATAATTTAATAGAAAAAATGAAAATTTTTAACCTTTTTATGCTCCATATTCAACCTTGAAACTTTCTGTCCCACTGTCTTAATATAAAATTTGCACTTTCTGAAATATCCTTATTTTTTAGAATAATACCATCATCATCGAAGCCGACCAGTGGCCAAAAGGTTGCAACAAATGAACGCTGGCAATTTCTTTCCGAACTCAGTTCCGATGACATGAGTTTGTTTCGTATTTGTTGCCATAAGCAGAAATAATAAAATTGCAATTTGTGATATGCATGACTCATTCCTTTCCTCATTGCGGAGCCAACAATGTGCAAACAGTTGACAATGGCAATAGGACAGAGAACTAGATGTTTCTGTAAATTCCATAAATATTTATAAAGTGGGTATTGCTGTACCATAAAGTAAATACAACTTGAGTAATCGAAGATGTTTTTCTTTTTAATGGTTAATGAAATACAAAAGTTATTTGTATTTCATTCCATACCATCATGTTAAACTTTTACGTAAGCTACTTGCTACATGAAGCAGCATGGCTGCAATTATTTGAACATCTCTAAAATTCTATACTTCAAATCCTTAAACCTGCATATTTTTTTAAAAACTTCTGCTTTCAGAATACTCCTAAAGAAGCGCTCACAAACAAATAGTCAAATTAACCATTTTCAGCCCATGTTGTGTCTACTCTCCAATATGGCATTCTTATAACTGTAAGGTTTATCTTAATTTTTCGGACAGTTAATTTTAAATTAAAGTTACTTTACTATCTTTCCCTAATTTCAGCTTACAACGTCGGCCAGAACTTATTTTCAGAATCGCGGTTGAATGCAAATGAGGAGAAAGAGTATTTAACTGCGAAGTTCTACTGACTTCGTTAGACAGCCTGAGAATCTGTTCAGCGCGCATTTGCCTTTTAGGGATATTCTCTCCCAAGCTATTATTACGCTGGGCCGTATTTTAGGCTCTTGATAGCTTCTCCGTTAGTTAGTGCTAAGTGGCCAAATTTCTTAGAATCTTGTTAGCTTCGGCTATATCTTTTTAGTTAAGATTAGTTAAGTCTTATTTCTTAGTTTCCTGAGTTCAAGCCCGAGTGGAGGCTGTATTGTAAATTCCAAGAAAGGAGTCATCTGTTAAACTTTATTTGGAATAATAAAGGAAATTAATATTGTTATTAAATTATATTTATCAGTCGTATTACTTCACAAATTTAATTATTAAATATTACATGGTTACTCTGATACGATCACCTAGGATTACTGAATTTATTAAAAGGAGAAAATTATTACTCATGCTACAAAAAGAGTACAAAGGTAATAAGCAGGTAATATATGTATAAGTTTCATTTCTGACTTCATGGAATTCAAATATTACATGACATGGAACTACATGAAATTCAACCCTTCGTAAGTTTACGCTTCTATCATTTTGAACTTACATTGCAGTAACATTCAAAGTTTGGAATCTTACATAACATATTTGGACTTTATATATCATTCTTAAAACGTATACGGTTTCGATACATGTTTTCAGAATTGTTTATACTTGAAAAAAACCTTTATCTTTTATCCTAAATATTGCCCTATAAGAATTTGTAGTAGATATCTGCATTACAACGCCTTTAAAGCAAAATAACTTTGATATATTGTAATTTGGGACAATCGGGCTTCTTTTAAAAAAATACTGTAACTTTGTCATTAGTTGCAATAAAATTATAACGATTTCAATAAAGAGTATTTTATCCTGTTGATGCAGGTTATTTTTGATTGGTTTTAATGAACAGGTCAGAGTATTTTCAAAAATAATCTTCCACTTCTTCCCACAGCCGAGGAGTTTTAGAATTACACTTGAGCAAGGGATTTGATGACCTCGGAGCACCCAAATGGCAGCTAGTGCTGTGCGTTTTCTCCGTCTTCGTCATTCTTTACTTCGCACTCTTCAAAGGTGTCAAGTCATCAGGAAAGGTAATGTTTCATTTTGGTATTTATTCATTTTGGTATTTAAATTCTAGGAAGATTAAGATTATTGTATGATTATAATTTAAATGCAGCTTAGTCATGACAAGTTCCTTACTCCGAGGTATTATAATGAACCAGTCCTTGATCCGCTGCTCAGATGATATATTTTATACTAAATAGTTCAATATGAAACTATCAGTATGGCAAATTGATCTGTTTAGAAGTCGTAACCACTGTCAACTTTTTGACAGTTAATTACATATTTAATATTAATTCTACTGAGTGCATGTTTAGCTATATTCATATCGCTCAGTTTCCTTAGATTTCTGATTTTTAGATATTCCGTGATCTTCATTTTCAAATTTTATTTAGTTCTAAAACCAACTATATTCTAACTTCTCAATATTTTCCTTTAAAAAATTTTACTTTCTTACGGTACTAGTTTTGGCAATATTATATGGTAGCTCAGCTACCCTTTTATAAATAAACCACTTCAAGTATTCAAAGAACTACATTTATGAGAAATTCTGCTCATAAATGCATTTTTGAGAAAATGTCTGTCATTGTGTTGTAGAATCTCACTCTTTTAGGTATTATACATAAAGTCAAGACTCTTGCAGATACTGAAGTGACTTGTCGTTATATCTAGATAAACAACAGAACGTAAGAAGTGTGTAAAAGACCCTTTTATTAAGAAATTAAATAACTGAATAGAAGGCACTTCTTGTGCTCACAAAAACCATCTAGCATTTATGGCGCAAATCAAAAGATAGAATTTCAAATTAAAATTAAATCTAAATCGTAAGTAAACCAAAGGCAACGCAGAAAGGATTAACGCGCAAATTGGCACAAGCCTATACCAGCGTGACAAGCATTATTTGCAAGAATAAAGCAACGCCGAATACAGACTGCTAACGTGACTTTCAACAGCTGGAATACGCTTTGTCTAACGAAACTAAAATCTCCCTTTAAATACCATATCTTTCTACCTCATTTAAACATGAGCGAACTAAAAATTGGCGTTCTGACGGGAAAATAACAGTGTGGTTACTAAAAATAACTACTTAATGTAAATAAATGCCTTACAATGTTATCTGTTATTTCAAAATATAAATATCTTCAACGTTAACGTACTAAATTACTTGACATTTTTAAAGAGAACAATTAAATTACACCTAAGCTCTACCAAACTTTCGGGCATTTTAATGTATGTTGGGTTCCATAATATCCATTGCAAAATCCGTGGAATATAACTCAAATTTATCTCCACGTTTTGAATTAAAAATGCCCTTCCGCATGTTAGAGGACCAGAAGAAAAATGTCTGATTTCTAGACGGGAGGATCAGATTACCTGTTCAGTTTCGACTACAGTGACTTTCAAAGAAGACCTCGTGGGACAATAATATACCTAATTCAGACAGCTCACCATAGCTGATAAAATAACTCATAAAGACGCTTCGATAAAACAGAATGGAATCTGATGACATTTGCGTGATTTGTCAGTCTTTGGTTTCTATTATATTTAGTGTCTTATGGAATACCGTATCAATGATGACAAACTGCTGAATAGTCTTAACTATCTTTTCTGTCATTTGCAAAGCATTTCTGTCGAACAACGTGCTTTATTCGAAAAATCTTTCAATATAACTTCCATCTTGCCTTCCTCCAGACCTGCAATGTTTTCCTTGATCTTGGAGACAAAAACAACTTGAATTTTGAAAATTGTCATTCCTAACCATTTCACCGAAATTACGAATCATCTCAGTTAATTTATTCTGCATTAAGTCCATCTTCTAATTAACATAAATGACTAATAAAATATAATTTATAATATAATATAATATAATTATAATAAATTAATATAAATGATGCAAATGCGCCATCTTATTGCATTCCCGTTAGACTTATCGGAGTAATGTTTACTGTTATCTGCCATATGCTTCAGTTTTTTTTTTTTTTTTTTTTTTTTTGTGGCTAAAAAATATATACTCTCTTAGGTACTTTTCGATTTCTCCTTGTTCAGAACGTGCTACCAATTGGTTGTGTTCCACTGTTAGTTGACAATATTTGAATCTCGTCAGCTAGTCCACTTTCCTAACATCGCTAGCATTATTTCCAAGATCCTGATGAATATCCTTATTATTTTCTGGTATATTTTACCATTCTTTCCCCCTTCCATATAAAAGTTTAAAATGCAGTAATAATTTATCTGTTTTTTGTTTCAAAAAACCAAAGTTACAATGAACATGAGATGCACGTTTACAAATACTTTCCACTGGTTAGTGACGCTAAAAAACTTCCACATGTACGAATTAATGACTAAGATCTTGTTTAAGTTCCATCCTAGAATTCTTGTTGGTTTGCTTAAAAACAAATAATGATGGAAATTTTTCAATCAGACTTTGTATGAGGATCTAAGCAATATCGTATATCGCTGTAGTCAAATAATGTCCTTTTACACTTATAGAGGCTAAATTATTTTATTATTTTTGTTATTTATTGATAGTATTATGAAATCACTTTTGGCATAATAAAGGATATTATATCGAGCTTTCTTTCATTATTCCAAGAATACAGAATCTCCTTTATAGTTATTTACTCCTTTATCTCTTTTATAGTTAAAACCTTATCAGAGACATACGGTTTCAATCTTTAAAGCCCCTTTAAATAACATAATACCTGTTGAAAGATTTATTGTTATTTGATTAGTAATCAGAGATAATGGATCTTTAGCAAATTACCACGAATTCTTCCCGTAAATTCCATCCAGTATTTTCTCTATTAGAAACAGATTTCCCTAGCAATCAGTCTTCACCCGAATTAAATGTTCTTATTTAACAAGACACCTTTTTTAAAAAATGTCATAAATATTTCTACGAATCTTAATAAACATTATAACTTTATCAAACATTCCAAGTATTTTCGCATTTCCCTGACCAAAAATATGACAAAATGGAAGATTTAATTACATTCGAAAAATAAAAAAATATTCCGAGAATTCTATAGATTCATAAACTAGAAAAATCGAAAAATTTTTTAAGTGTTTCCAATGCATGTCAGTAGCGTAACCCCTACTATAAAAGAGTTGTCTTCGTCCTCCATTTTGAATAACATCCGCCATTTTCTTTTCTTCACGTGTTCACTCTTGGACAGTGACTCATGCTGCACTCCATTGTGAGAACCCAGATTCAAGCATATTTCATTAATAAGAGATTTAAATAATGATCTTAGCTAAATAAAAATAATTTGATTTGAAATAATTGTATCAACTAAAAAAACAATTACAGATTAAAAATAATTAGATTAGAAATAATTACAGATTAAACTAATTAGATAAAACATAATAAAATTCCCAGTCATGACGGCAGTTTAAGACGTAACACATGACGAGAAATGTGAGCTATTCATGATGGAGAACGAAGACTACGTGATCAAAAATGGCGATTGACGGCACGTGATCCAAAACGGCGGAACTTCTGGTAATGCCATAAGCCCCGCCCCCTTTCTATAACGCCACATAAGCTGAGGGTATACTACTCATGTCTACGATATTGACGTTCTTTGATCCTTTTTTTTTAGTAGAAAAATTATTGAATATTTTAGTCAAATGAATATTTCTACGAATTTCAATAAGAGAATGTTTAAATATTATTTGCATTCATTTATAATTATGCTAGCATTCCAAACTGATTTCCTTGAAAAGATGTGTTTATATTTTAAGCTTAGAATCATTCTTATGTCATGCTAGCATTCTTAACTGATTGCCTTAAAAATATTTTATTTTAATTTTAAGATTCTAAATAAAATTCAGTTATTCAGATAATGGATCGTAAAATCTATAGATAATCAACGATATTTAATTAATTTGCGTAAGTTAAACAACATAGTACAGATTCTGCAATAATTAATTTTATTTGCATAGGTTGTATGGGTAACTGCCACTGCTCCGTATGTCATCTTGACTATCTTATTATTTAGAGGAGCTTTCCTACCAGGAGCTGGACAAGGTGTTATGTACTATCTGAATCCAGATGTCTCTAAACTTCTAAATTCTCAGGTATTTCTATTATATTTCTTATTGAATATAATTCAGATACGCAGGTATGCATTTATGCGGAAAATAAGAAATTACATAAAAGGGCGTCAGCGGCTATGTTAGTAGCGTTCCTAGTTATCAATATGAAGCTATCTTAACAGGTTGAAAGAATTTTGCATCAATCCATGTAATAGGTTACAGGTAAAAACATCGTGAATGGAAACGTCGCGAAGAAATCAATGCAAGGAGAAACGACGTCGTAAAAAATAAAATAAGTCAAAAACTTTGCACTTTTAAAACATCGTGTTAAAAAAAATAATAAACCCTACCTGAAATTATTGCGTGATGACAGACATGTGATTTTAGGCTTTAAAATATTAAATTCATGTTGAAATAATGATATGCTAGCACACGAAAAGATGAGAAATATTTTTACCTCTCTATTTGATGTTTTTAGATTGCCCAATAAATTTTTACTGAAAAAGCAATAAGAAAATTAAAGCATTGAAAAACTGAAAATAAGTAGAAAATTAATGTTACGTACAGCAGTTAATAGAATTTTAAACTTATTTAGTTAACTATTAAACATCATTATTTAATTAATCTCTTTTATAAAATTGGAATAGCAGAAATCTCTTCTATAAAGCTGGATGAGTAGTGTGAACGTACATTGAAAACTTTTAATGTAATGTAATAAACACGCGTCTACAATATTATCATCTGCCGTAGGTGCTTTATTTTTTATCATGATATTTTTTATCACGATGTTTTAAAATTGCGAAGGTTTTTTAAATCATTTTATTTTCTGCGACGATGTTTTATAACATCATGTTTTAGAACTGTGCTATCTTTTACTTGATTTCTTTCCTCCGACAGTGTTTTGTGCTCCTCTTGCGTTCCATTATTAGAGATGTTAAGACAACGAAAAGCAGCGTAATTTTCATAAATTTGCAGGACAAGTTTCCATTGTTAAAGCACAGAACCTGGTTCTTCAGCTGCAAAAAGAGAAGCCTGTGTTCTGGCGATAAGAATGGCAGGAATTAATTCACGCTACTGTCCCTATCTATTGATAAAAAATGAAAATAACTGTCAAGTTATTTCCTTAAAAGCTGAGAGTGAAAAGGAACTGGATTTGAGATGATTTACTAGAACCGAAAGATTTTTATGAATGTGAAATGTCTCTAGAAAAATGATGATGTCGACAACGTAAGATGTTTCTTAAATAATGTTAGCTGCTGAAAAATGAAAAAAATGCTTTTCTGACCAAGAGTGTTGCGAAAAAAAATTGTTTTGTGCTCCTTGGAGAGAAATTTTAAGGCTTTCGTAGTTTGACCAATGTAAATTAAACCACGCTGGCAAGAAATCCTGAGTATATCCCGGGAATTCATATCTGGAGTGGGATCTAAGTATGGAACTGCAATTTTATTGACAAAACAGAAAACTACCCGAAAGTTAAGTTTCTGTAAAGTAAATGCAATTTTATAGCTAATCCATGAAAAGAAAGAAATGACAATATATTTCCTATGTTGTTACTTGCCCAAGGCCACGAAATTCCTCGTGGCATGGAGTGCAAGATTCGCCTGTCGTTGGCAACAGCCTTACGCAGCAGGTTCCTGGGCATAACCCTAGCCTGTGTTGGATGTTATGCAAAACTTTTCTTTTCGCATAGCATAGTAAAAGTCCAAAATATTGAGAGTTCGTAGTTTAACAGTGAAGATTGAAATATTAGCAATTATGGCATGTAAATCGTAGAAGCAATTATAGCAATTACAGTGCATAACTTGTATTTACGTTACAAGTGCATAACTTGTATTTACGTTACAAGTGCATAACTTGTATTTACGTTTGTCGAGAAATAGCTACCAGTAAATGCTGTGAGAACCATTCAGTTCGCTTTCGAGTGGCAACAGCCTTGAGCACCATACGGGTGACAGTGCGATTTAGCTTAGTCCCCCCCCCGCAATTTTGATAAAAAGCACCCCGGGAGGACGGGTCCGTGGCTCTCTCACTCCTTTCCTCTTCCACAAACCACACGAGAGAACTTTCGGCTTGCCGCATATTTAGAGTGCCACAATACCGCACCGACACTATACATTTACAAACATGCATGCCTTCTCCGGGATTCGAATCCGGCCCTTCGGCATCGCAGTCAGCGACGCTAACCACTGTACCAATTTATAATCTCCTAAAACGAGAGAGTGCTTTCTGATGTGCTTAAAGGAGAATTTTTTAACCGTTTAGTTAATATGTTAGGTTAAAAGGCTTTGTCAATAGTAACTGCTTTCAAGTACTTTAATTCTTTTTCGTGAGCAGATTTGAAATGCTCGGAAAACGAAGAAATAAAATGAAGCTAACTTTTGTTTAGTCTAATTACATGATTTTAAGTATTGTGGAAGACAGTATAAAGCTTTACGGTATACATAGTTGTACTGAAGTTGGATATGTTGCTTGTGAACCAGATGTCGAGAACCGGAAGAGAATTGGATGTCTCGAGTTCAGAAGTAAATTGAATAGCAGAATCAAGTGGAATTCTAATAAAGGAAAAAACTTTATTTTAATACGAACTTTATTTTATTACAAATTTATGAATATTAACTCTGATTCTTGTTGCCTTAAAACAACTCCAATAATTGTTATTTTGCGTATTATTTTAACTCTTTCCATTTCCCAGTTGAAAAAAGAGGAATGTCGGATATGATTGAGACTATAATCTCACTCATCAAAAGAAAGCTACAAGATGGGGAAAGGCTGTATTGGTAAATAAATTGGTAAAAATCTATGTGTCACTAATGTGAATTCATGATTAAAAGGAGTTGAAATCACGATCAAATGAAAAGCTTTACAATCAGGTGCACATGGTTTTAAGCAAGATACAATATATGTATCAAAAAATTATTTAAGGAAACTCCATAGAATTGCAAACGCTAAAATATTGTCTTTCTTAATGGTTCTACACTGACTGCGAATTTATGTCTTTTGACAATTTTTAGAGATTTATGTAGAATTTTTTCAATTTGTAGAAAAGTGTAAAAGAAAGCAAAATTTTAGCTATATATAATTTTTATTTGTTGTGTTATAATCTTTACATGTTTTAACTTATAACTCTGGTCTCTGTAAGTAGATTTTTATAGACTTTATTTGGAGGCTCTAAAGTAGTACATTATGTAAATTTATGCGTTTTTTTTTTTTTTTCGATTTAATAATTTTGCTATTTTTGAAGTGCTAATATGCCAGAATAATATCTAGAAAATTGTCAGGAAGAATGGATTAAAAGGGTTATGTTTGCATTAATTTTTAAATCTGTGTTCATAAAAACTTACATATCTAATCATAATCCCAGCATAGCATATCATCATTACTTCCTGTCGTCGAGAACCTGCAAGTATCGCAGCTGTTAAAAATCATGGAAGAGATGTCATACCAACTACATTTCGTATTCCAGTCATCAAAGGCACTATACTTTATTTGTGACACTTTTACAGTGACACGTAGTTAATGTTATGGTTTAGATAATAAAACACACTTTTCTTTCAACATTATTTATATTTTACTGTTCCTAATATTGGAAATAAATTATATTTATGTTTTAGAAATAATATATTGCAACTGGTGGCCGTTCTTAATCTTTACTTGACGTGCTCTGTCCAGCGAAATCTTGGTATCATATTAGCTTCTAACTCTTAAATCGTTCGTCAAATATTAATATTGGATGTTCTCAAATTTTAATCAGTTTCTATGCCTTTATAATTGAATCTATTCACTGAGAGTCTTTGAAGTAAGAAATTTTACAAAAACCATTGATTCCAGTTTATACGCTAAAAAAGTATTTCTGAAATCAAAATAGGCAGATTAGATTTATATCAACTATCATCTAAAATATCGACAATATAATATTTTATGTTAGTTAAGTATGTGTCGAGCAGTTTGTATTTTTGATAAAAATTATATGTCTTCTTTCCAGGTTTGGGTAGATGCCGCCGTACAAGTCTTTTTTTCTGTAGGAGTGGGATTTGGAGTACATCTAACATATGCATCCTATAATAATTTTCATAATAACTGTTATAGGTAGGTTATATTATAAAAATGGCTTGTATCTTTGCTTATCAATCACTAATTGCTATAATTATTACAATAATAGAGTAAAATCTTCTTCCACTTGTTGATAAAAGGACGTTTTTAGATCTGTACGATAAATATCTTCATAAAACATAATTCGATTCTTTATATTTCTGAACTTCTAGTTGCGTACCGTATTCCAGGAATAAATTAAAATGGCAGGTTAAAGCAGCTGTTGAAATTCTGAATGAAATTAATTTTCCGTAACACAATGAATATTTTTGTGAAATAGAAAATTGACTTAACATATGTATGAAGCTTCCTATTTTCTCGCATATTTTTTCCCTTTTTTTAACTATTTTTATCGTTCAAAAATCACGAGTGGAAAATTATGGGAATAATTTAATATCCGAAGGACGCGGTTATAATAAGAACATAGCAAATGAAAAGTAGTTATGGATAAACTATCACAATATTATTTCTTTTTATAAAATAAACCTACATTTTAATAAGAATATATAGTAATATTAAAACTAAATTATGTAATAAGATACCTTCATTTCTACTTCTCTGTAACTCAAATCTCTATCGTTCTTATTGTTCTCTGTGTTATTCCTTAGGGCTCAAATCATCTGTAAGTAATTAGAAAAAGTGAATGTACAGCTGACTTGGCGCTTTTGTAAACTGAATGCCAGTTATTGTTTGTTTCAATGTGATTGGTCAATTCTTGCATTGGTCTAGCATTAGATTCTTGTATTACGTTCAACTTCTACCCGTGTATTCACCAACAGCTGGTTAACTCAAATATCAAAAAATCCGTGTATCAGAGGTAACTCACAGTCTGAGCTATGATTAGCACATTCAGTATTCTCCATTGGTGAACTACAGAATCTGATACATAATACAGAGTTTTTTGTAACGGGCATTGTCATTGGCTATGAAAAGTCATATGCCTTTCAAAGAAGTATATATTAGGTTTTTTTGCATTTTATGCTCGTTTTACGTGTCATCATTTCAATGTCTTACGTGGGAAAATTTCCTTTTTGTTTTACGTGATTGTATGAAATGACTTGCTAATTAAAAATAGAAACACAATTAATATGCAACAAAATGTTGGATGAAATGTATTATTTAACCTTTAAACTAAAGAAGTGCTCATTTATCGAACGAAAGTTTCGCCCAAATCATTAGTTTTTGCAGTGGAATGGAGTAATTTGTTAATATTTATGCAGAAAGAGTTAGTTTGATTTTTCTCTCAATTACATAATAAAATAGAAAATAATTATGCTTAAGCTCTTATAATAAATTAGTTTATTCAAATTCATACTTAAAATACTATGAATACAATAAATAGCTTAATAAAACGTTCTGTATTTTAGTTCATATATATTAGACTCTCATGTAAAAATAAATTTTAAATTTAGACGATTAAATTAATAAAAATATCTTTGAGTATTGTACTATCTGCTAAAACTAAAAGTAATACTATTAAAATTTCAAGTTGAAAAGGAAGTGGTAAATCATAGGTGAATAGTATACATAAATGAGATATTCGTATGCATATAATGGAATTTTACTTTAAGACTGTTTATGTTCAACCTCAAGCTTTATTAAATGCTATTACTGGGTTCAAAGCCTGGGGACAGGGTGTTTTTCATGATTTTCCAATGTGTGACATGGATATGAACCAGATTTTCAGCAGTCTGATGTTACGGTCATCCTTGGCACAAAGATACATAGAAGATTCTCTTTTATTCTTCTATCATTCTCTCTAAAAAATAATCTACTCGATTTTCTTTCAATTCCACCAACAACCCAGTGTCCATATAGGCTTATCCCTTTTATATTTCATCCATTTCAACAGTCACTCCGTTTCTGCCAAGAGGAAAACTTTCATTGATTACGACCACCTGAATACTTCTTTCAAAACATTAATCAATCAAAAATAGCATGTTCGTGAACTTTCACCTCATTCGTAACAAACTCATTCTAATATGCCCAAACGTGTAATCTGTAAAATTCCATAAATGCTCAAATGGCTGTGCTTAAACTGTGAACCTCTCCTCATTCGTCTACAAACATCACGCGGATTCCCACTATCTTGCTTGTGTCGAAGTCATTCATATTCATCAGTTTATCCATTTTTATCACCCAAATGCATACTGTTCCCACATTTCAGACGCTCATATTTAGAACAATCAAACCCACTTTCATGCACCAATCTGAAACAGATTTCTCTCCTTCCATTTCCAAAAATAAAAAATGAAAAACTTGCAAAATTTTAAGACAATCACACATTTTTTTCATAACCCAAATCTTTTAATCTTTTCCACAATGTAATTTAAAATCTAAAACATCCAGAGAACCGAAAGAACGATCATTGGGCAAATTCTAATCAAACTGTTATGTCGCTATGTACATGCGCTATGTTTGTAGAAACACTAAGTTATTTCGAAGCAGGAGACATGTAAAATGAGCAATATCCGTGCAGGAACTTGAACCTTAGACCTCTCGAATACGTGTCGATTAGGCTTCCAGTTACACAACGAAGGCATGCTAGAAGGCGGGAAAAATACTTTATACACTCCCTCTTTTGAAGACGACTGGGGATTAGGGTACCCAATCGCCAAATCCTGGTGGTGGAGAATCATCATCCATCACCCTTTTTAGTTAGGGCGCCACTGTAGAGACATTAGGTTATTTCGAAGCAGGAGACATGAAAAACGAGCAATGCCCTCCCCGGGACTCAAACCTCGGATCTCTCACGCGTTTAGTATGCTTCCAATTACATCACGATGGTGGGAAAAATACCTTATATGTTAACGGCGCATGCACGTGAATTTGATGATCTAAATGTTTTGAATCATCGGTCAAATTCATATCAAACCGCTATATAGTTTGAATATGTGCAAGCGCTATACTATACATAAAATGTAGTTACTAAGCAGTGCATCCTCCCCCCCCCCGTTTCTTCTTATAGCATCGTTAATAATTATCACACACACACACATATATATATAATATTTTCAGGAGCAATGACCAGGAAATTGGAGGCGAATGCAGATTAAATCTTCAGTTTTATGTTCAGCAACATGTTACGGCTACACACACGTCGGCACATTAAATGTACCTCTTACAAAGGGCTTACATTTTTGATATATTTGCAGAAAAAAAGAAGCAGACAGACTGCAGTCCAGCTAAGGCAAAGCTTAGAAAGCAAGTGTGTAATGTTCAGGATGAAATCTTAAGTCAGACTGAGTTAGTTTTGGTTCTCAAAGCATTTTGATTGGATAGCTAATATTGTTGTAAAATTATTATTGGCTGCTTGAGTTTTAATTCAATTTACATCATCAGAATTACGTAAGCCATATGACATAGATTTTTCTCGAAATGACGCAGTCCAAATAGATGTTGCTATTTTTAGAATAGAGAAGGGAAATTAATTTACGCTGCTAATTTAATCTTTTACATATTCTTTATTTTTCTTACATATATATATATATATCACATACCTAATTATATATCACATATATAATTATATAATTTAATGCATAGTAGAATCAGTAATATAGTGATATAATTTAATAGCTTCTACCAAATAGTAACAAATGACTTACTTTTGCAACTAACTCATTCAGTTTGTAATAACATGTTTCACTTAAATTTCCTAAATGTGAATGCCAAAACTGATTTATTATTGGTGCTTCAGTTTTGAAGTAACACAGAAAAAAATTCGATTTAGCAACTCTGAAATTCATTTGCGAAGAGGTAAACATTCAGAAATCATGATAACTTCCTGTATATATACGCATAATATAAACACCGTTACTTAAGCACATACCGGATTAGTTATATAAAACGTATACTGATCTTTAATTCAACTATATTGAAAAATGAAGTTATATGAAAGCTGTTCCATCATCAAAAAGAATAAAAAAAAGGAAGACTTACTTTATCCACATAATTCTTGATGGGTCACTATTAGAAATTATAGATTATTCGAGACCAATATATAGCAATATATCCAAACTACACAAGCATAACCAATTTAAAATGATATCTTATGCATAATACATAACATACTTATAGGAACTGTAACCTTTCAGAAGAAATAAATTCAACAGAACATTCAGTTAACATTATCCAATTTTTGCAATGCGTAATATAGTGCATGTAATGTTTAGCACCTATAGAGTTTTGTTCTGATTAAAATGTACTTATAGAGACATTAGGTATTTTTGGAAGCAGGCAAGATGAAAAATGAGCAATGCCTTCGCCAGGAATCGAATCACGGACCTCCGGATACGCTCCCAGCATGCAGACTACCACACCACGAAGGCATGCTAGGAAGGCGGGAGAAATACCTTATATACTCCCCCTTTTAAAGTGCGACTGGAGTTTTTTTTAGGGGACGCAGTCGCCAAATCCTGGGTGTAGAGAATCATCATCTACCGCCCTTTTAGTTCGGGCGTCACTGTAGAGACATTAGGATTTTTTGGAGGCAAGCGAGATTGAAAAATGAGCAACGCCTTCGCCGGGAATCGAAACACGGATCTCTGGAATATGCGCCCGGCATGCAGACCACCACACCACGAAGGCATGCTAGGAAGGCGGAAGAAATACCTTATATACTAATGCACAATAATTTTATAAGAGATGTTATAACAGTACATAGTAGTTGCTGAAATAAATATATTTTATCTCTCGTCTTTCATCTTCTGGATTAAAGAGTACGATGTGCTGAATATGTAATTTTGCCATACATCGTTACACCTGATCGTAACTGCCTGGCAAATTGAATTTTGGATATCAGAACTTGAATCTCCTCCAAATAACTAAAAGGAACAACACGCAAAAAATCTGAGAAGCAATATATATTTTTTGGTAGGAATTAACAGTTTCGAGCGCTAGTAGATCACATAAGATACGGTATCGTCGACGAAAATCCACATTGTCTACCATATTAAGGTCATACACTTTATTTGGTATTAGAAGTCAAGATATCCAATTTGATACATTCCAGCTATTCTGCTATCAAAACACTTCTTCACGGCATCTATCTTGTCAGTATATTCTTTCTTCATTACCTCATCCGAGTGTGGTAATCCACGGCAATCAGTGAATAAGGATCCAATATAATTCACAGTTTTATGGTTGGAGAATACCAATTTTGCTCTGACTCACTAGTCAAGGCCAAAACTAATGAGTTAAAAAGTTGGTGAATATAGGGGTTAGAAGAGAAAGATTCGGCGTGACCTTCGTAGGTAGATTCAGAAAAGAATCGTGAATTGATTCTGTAGTATCATAAATTACTTTTAATATAGAAAATTACTTTTGTAAAATTCAGATAATTTTTTATTTAAAATGAATAATAAAGTTAGTTTCAATAAAAAAAAAGTAAGGTGGTGTAAAACGTGTAAATACAAATATTTTAAAACCACATTTAAAAAATTAAAGATCCGAAAGTAATACGTTTCTTAATAAACTGCATTTAACATTAGCCAAAAAAGCAACATTTCCTTGGAATATGTTTTAAATAAAATTCTGTATAAACCTACACAAAATGAAGGCAGCCTTTTCAGTCTAATTTTAAATTTCACACTGACATGTTCCTCTTTCATTTGAACCTACATTTGTACTTTTTTCCCCTAAAAATAGCTTCAAGGAAATGCAGTGTTATATTTATGTTGTTGTTGTTGTTGTTGTTGTCTTGTCCCTATTACATGGAACAATGGTTGCTACAGCCTACTCCGAAGAGAGGTTGGACTTCTATTTCCCACCCCTCAATTTTGAAGGAGAGCACCTCGGAAGGATTCGGGTGCCTCCTACTCCTCTTCCCTACCACCAATCCACCCAAGAGTACTTTCAGCTCGCCGCATATTTATATTGCCGTCATGCCGCACCGACACTATACGAACCCGGTCCCTTCGGTACCGTAGTAAGCTACCCTAACCACTATACCGTCTGGGCGACAGTGTTATGTTATGCAGTTCTAATATAAAAATTGGAAACGATTTTAATAACAGAAGTATAATTTCTTTCTTAGACTCATTTTGTTTTCAAAGTTTTTTTCAAACATGTAGTTCTATACACATTTAAATCCCATTAGCCATTTTGCTCACATACGAAGCATATCAACTATTGACTAAAGGTTTTAAATACATTAATTTTCAAAATTAAAGGTTAGTTGTAGAACTGATATTGTTGTAGAAAGCCGATTAAAATTTTGCTGCATATAATTATATACGGTAGTGTGTGCAACCTAACACAAGAACAATTGCTGTGTAATAATTTGGGCACAAAATATACAAGTGAGGCGAATTATGAGTTAATCATGAAAAGAAACATGCTCGACGTCAGGCACATATTTTGGTTAAACGTAAAGTTGAAAGCTTAAATGTGGTCAGATGTTGGTAGGTATGCCTAAAAGACATCATTTAGATAAAGGGTATCAGTGACTATTAACAGTAAACTCTAAACAGTTAAATGTGTCCAGAAATTTAAGTACTTCCCAAAGCTGTATCTCAAGAATCTGTGACAGCTTTTTATGCATAGGAACAGTTACTCATCTTTCTGGTTTAAGATCATTTAAGGCTAAGTATAGCATTTGAAGACTGTTATTTGTCATTGCTGCAAAGAAGAAACCCTCACGAAGTCGTTACACGGCTGGTTTGGGACTTCAGCAGCCACTAGTTTTCGAATAACTTTTAAATATATTTACTTGGGGACTCAGAACTTTACCTGCTTATCCAGAAACTTTGTCATAGATGTAAGCTTGGGTACGGCCGTTTCTCACGATTCTTTCCCAAGCAAATAAACAGCCATTTTAGAAATAATGTCTTTCACGTATATGCAGTGGGGGAACTGCATGCTTCAGCCTCTCCCTAGATGTAAATATATCCAAAATCATTATTTTAACTGAATTTGAATTCATCCATTAACAGTACTCAAGACCAGTCATTTTGACTTCACTGAAGATGAAGATAACACCATTTTAAGGCCTCTTTGAAAATACAGAAAACAGAGCTCAGTACATTAATTTTCTCGCATAAAACTCATGTTCGCAAGGATCTTCAGTACGCAGGTCTACTGTTCGAACTGTTACAATAATATTACTTCACCACCACTTCACTTTTTAAATAAAAATATCAGTTCACACCATCTAAAAGCATGCTTTTGGTTAAGTCGTTTCAACACATAAATCCACGATTTTGTCTCATAATTAACTAAATGAGTTGGTGGTCAAATCTATGAAGCTGCGTCTTCACTCTTGTAAATATGTTATTGCACTGTAATGCATTATCGTAAATTCGTTACTGTTTCGTTATTGCGCTCTTTCCCTAAATACTATGTCCATAAAAAGACTTCTTAGAAAGATTTAAGCTTATGGTTAATTATTCTAGTTAAATTGTGTTGATATTTGATATGTGGAAACAATTTATTATTTCCTTATTATAATAGCAATAATTTACAATAATTTATGTTTACATAATTTCATCGTTAATCACATATACACTAGGGATTGTCTTTTAACGACGGCTATCAACAGTTTCACAAGCTTCTACAGCGGTTTCGTCATTTTCATCTTCTTGGGATATATGGCTCATAAGCATGATGTCCCTATCAACACCGTGGCTACTGATGGTCACGGATTAGTATTCCAAGTGTACCCGGAGGCTATCGCAACCTTACCTGGAGGTCAATTTTGGGCAGTTCTCTTCTTCATCATGCTGCTCAGTCTTGGTCTGGACAGTGCGGTAAGAGAAAACATTTAAACTAGCGTTTATAAAAATTATTCAGTGTGTTATTTGATTAATCTCTTTAATAAACAATGAATGGCAGATAATTTTGGATTTAGCAAACAATAATTATCTAGGTACAGGATAGTAAATGTTTTATAACGGTAGACTTAAAAAGAGATATCATTTTGAAGAAGTTGTCAATTTTATATAAGTCACTTAGATAAAATCTCTGCCACAAAGGCAGAGAAGACCGTTATGAAGGTGTTTGTTATGGTGGTGCCTTTATCTATATGATAGGGCATAATTATGCATCATTATTATTATTCACATTTTTATGCATTTACTTTCCTTTCTTTACTATCCTTCAATGTATAATGTAAATACGAGCCAATTTCCAGTAGAAATGGCTCGTATTTACATTATACATTTGAGGTCCATATCTTCAAAGAAGACATCTCTTCCTTTAGACAAATAGCCCACGTGTGCTTTGCTATATTCAAATTTGATTTTAATAATATACAGTAAGAGGAACATCACAGTATTTATTAAAGCGTATCTGTAATTCGACTTCCATAACTCATGTATTGTATAACTCACTTCCATAACTCACTGCAGTTTACTTAGGATGTCCAAAAGTGTGAGTCGGCAAATCCATTGGAGGAAATAGTGGTTTGTTTGCATGTTGTTTAAGCTGAGTGTGCTACTGCTGCATTGAACTTGATTTATTAACAATATCAAGAACACATTAACAATTAATATTACATACATAAAAGCAGTATTTTGTTATCTTTCAGAAGTGCGTACATTTAATTGCCTCCGTGGTGCGCTTTATAGTTGAAGACGATATTACATGTGCTTTAAAATTATTGGCTGACAATATCCCTGAAAATCAAAAGGCAGTACTGAACAAGTCATTGCTTCTGTAGTTTCAGAGCGTGTCATCTCACGCCTGTTAACAACATACTTATCTGGCGTCGACCTCGAGATTGAGACTTGTGAGGAGCCTCCACAAGAATTTATTATCTTCGCGTAGTCCACTGCAAGCAATTATTTTATACTCTTGTTTGTAAAAACTGCGAAACCATGAATGAATGACTCGAATAAATTGAAAATTACAAGGAATGCTCTGCAAAGTAGGCTATGCAAATGATTAGAATTTCAGGGTAATAACGTATGCTTTGGGCTGAACTGCTCCCTACAAATTACCTTGCTAATCATATGAACTGGAGACCGTAACAAAACGTTAAAAATAGCGTTTGTTTTTTGCCAGCAGTAAACGTTTCATCAGAAGTCTCTACGTCTTATCTATGACAAAGAGATCAATACAAGCAAGTTACGCAGCTCGAAAGAGAAGAATAGATGGCTTGCGATAAAGAGGATTTTTCTATCGTTAAAAAATCGCAGTTGGGGCATAATGCCTCATCAGTGAAGTGTGTGTAGAACTAGAGTATAACGAATGTTGTAGAATGGATAACGAAATGTTGCATCAACAGACACCTCATCCGCATAACTGTGATGGAGCAAGAAGCTTCATCTCGATAATTTGCGCAATGCTGTAGCACTGCTACATGTGTTCATTGTCAGCTTTAATAGTTCATGGACGTCTGTTATACTTAAGTCTCTATCACATTATGTTTCGGCTACGCGGGACTAGACGTCGAAAGTGACAATGCTCAGAACCCGCACATTTCCAGGAAACCTACATAGCATTTTCACTTACTAGAAAGACTTGAACGCAAACAGTAATCGATTATCGCTTAGATTGGGATCACGTGATCCTTCAGAAGCAGAACTTTCGTCTGATTGGTTGATCTCTACCGGAACAGAGCTCCAGCCAAGACATTTTCTGTGTGGTTTGTAAAAAAATCCCGCGTAGCCACTACATCGTTTCCGTAGCTAGGCGGGACTTTGCTTCCATCGGGGCTCTTTTTTCTAGGAATTCTCCCGTTTAAAACAGTGCTACCAGAATCTCGTTTCTCAGAAAAGCAGGGACTGTCGCTAGAAGTGATTAACCTCTTTAGAATTACTTGTATTCTTTTGCGTGCATTCGTTTGCGCAGGATTTCCTTTGAAAAATCATCGACGCCTGCGGCTGCAGTGGGATCATAACAAAGCTGCTGGAATGATGACGGGTATCACAGCGTTTTCAGTTTGGACTACAGTGATGTAGAGTACGCGTTAAACAGCGTAGGAGAGAATGCCATCTCACAAAATACATTATCAAGAATACTGGACGATCGTCTAGCATGATGGTCTGGGGCATCATTGGATATGATGGGCGATCTCTTCTGCTAAGAACTCAAGGTCCTGTTACCAACAATTGCCGCATCAAGGTCATCTCATTTCATGGGCCAGCAGTCGCTCGTGAAATTCACCTCGCAGCCAGTGGTGATCAGTTTTGGATCTGATAGAAGCACTATAGAATGAATTCTTTAAGTATATATTCAAAAACCTGTTTGATTTAATACGACGACGAGTACGAGCTCTTACTGCAACGCATGGGGGCTTCATTAAATACTGAGTTTGGGCATTCGATATTTTTCGTATTGCTCCGTAATTTAAATTTTTCTCGGTATCACTACAAGTTATATATGGAATAATTTTTTTTTTTTCCTATTCTAATGATTTCTTTGTGGGATTGTAATTTCACAAACAGGCGTATATTTTGATAATTTTAAAGGCTGTGGGGTTCTAACCTTTTATCTAACAGCTAAGTGTGTAGGAACCTCGTGAACACTTAAGCGAACAATCGCTTTAGTTTAGAAACAGATACGTAAAACTTAAGAAGTGTTAATTACCCTTTATTTCTCAAAATAAGAAGTTAACAGATGGCTCCTTCAAAGCCTCCACTTGGGCTTAAGTAAAACTTAACTAAATCTTAACTAAAAAGATATATCCGAAGCTATCAATCTTTTTAAGTAGTTATTAATAATATGTATCCCTAAATATGTATTAAACTGGCGAAGCTATTAAGGGCCTGAGATACGACCGAGCGTAATAATAGCTTAGAGAGAGTGTAGCCCAAAAGCCAAACGCGCGCTTGTCAGAATATCTGGCTCTCTAACAAAGTCAGTGGAACTTCGACTTAAATACCGCTCTTACTCATTTACATTAACTGCGATTCTAAAAACACATTTTGGTAGGAAACTGTAAGCTGAAATTAGTAGAAATAGGAAAGTAGCTTTAACTAAAGATAACTGTTAAAAAATTAAGATAAACCTTACAAAGGTACTAGAATTTCTTTAAATGTCTAAATCCCTGCCCCTAATCTTAGAAAGTTGCATTTAACTTTTTTAAGTTTGGGGTAACATTTAAAGTTTGGTGGCGCAAGTTGTCGCTGCTTGGGCTTGTAATTGTCTAAACAGCGAATATTTCTTCATTCGAAAGTGTAGAAAAAATGTCTGCCGATTATGAAACATTTAATACCAAAATTATAATGTAAATAATACGTACTAGCCATTCTTAAAAACTATTTTCGAAATTTCTGTTTATATCTGTATGCGCAGTTATTTTGAATTCGTGTGTAAGTTTATCAAAAAAGAAAGATGAAATGGCAAGAATATCATGAAATTTTATACATAATAGCTTATTCTAATTTTCTTTCGGCATAATTTTTCTGTAATGAAGTGAAATTTTTAAATAATAATTAATAGAACCAGAAATCAAGACACTTATTGAATCTTTATTAAAAAAAAGAAAGAAAGAAAAAATATAAAAGGAAAAAATACTGGGAAGCACTCGCGCATTGAAAATGCCCTAGTCTTTTCATCATAAGCAATTCGAATTACTTAAAATGGCTCGAATAATTTTTTACTGTAAAATTAATTTGATAATAAGTACTTTTGAATAAATACTTCTTCATTTAAACAAGGCGAAACTTAAATACTTCATAGCAACAATTAAAAAATTTTCTAACAAATGATACTATCTATTACATATGCTATTATGTGTGAATCTTATTGTCGCTCCTTTTCTTCAGATGGGAGGTTTAGAATCAGTAATCACAGGTCTGATGGACGAATTTAGAGACTTCTTCGAACGCTGGAAGTACAGTCGAGAAGTATTTACCTCATTTGTTCTCTTCACTTCATTTAGCATGGCTCTCATCAACGTCACGAGAGTAAGTAATTGTGATTTAAACCATTAGTTATTAATATCTGTATGAACTTTTCTGATTTTCTATAACCCAAATTACTTTATTTACTTTTTACACTGTAAATATGACCAGTAAAGGAAACAATTTATAATGTAAAATCTTACGAATTTAAATTCATTAACAAGCTTGTTTCATCTCTCTCTATGAGAATATAGTTTTCAATTTATTTCGAATATACAAATTAAAATTCTAGTTTGAAGGAAATAACTTCAATCTATGCTTAAGGAAATCAGTTTTGAAGATTTTACTTTCCTTAATATTTTGAATTTAAGATAGGAACCCGATAGTTTGTTTTGCACTAATAAATCTGATCGTTTTTAAGCTGATGAAAATATGATTGTGTTATTAGTTAACTGGAGTATCATAAACATTAGCATTCACATTCTTTACCACATAACAGAAACAAAGACTTCTTATCATAACATTGGGAAAACTGAAATTCTGAATAACTTTGTTGAAACTGATTTATAATTTCACATGGAAATCGGTCTTATTCTGTTGTATGTAATACTATCGTCAAATTAATTTTTTATTGTATTTTATATGCTATTAAAGTAGTTTTCTGTCGTTTTCAATAGAAGTAGTTTGTGATATTTCAATTGAGATTTAGAAAGACCAAGCAATATACCGTTTTATATCAAGTGTAATAAATTCTGTAAAAATATTGCTTTTACTACTTCTAAAATTCAGTTCATCATTGTTGTGTAAATAAATTTCATGATTCATGCCTCATAAGCTGCGGTATATATCTCACAATCCTAATCTGTCGCTGAATTGATTAATTCGCAATAATCAATAAAATTACATTTTACAATGGCAGCATTATGAAAATAAGCTGAAATACAGATCCATATTCCCAGCTAAGAAAGCTATTCCATCTTAATAAAATTTATCTATTGGCCTAACATAAAACTTTCCGACGTCAGAATATTTATGTTTTATAACCCATACGTTGTTAAATCTTCAGAATTGCAACATCTTAGAAAAACAACGAATAAATGTGTAAAGAGCATTGAACACTCATCTCCGCGTAAAATAACTAACTCCAAGCGACCTTTAATTGAATCGTTATTCTTGCCCAATAAAAGGAGGACGTGATCACAAGAGACGGGACCGCAATTTATCTCGGATGCAGATCTAAAGTCCTTTGTGACGCTTCCTATTTATTATTTCCCCTTACATGGTACTAGCGGTGTTTCGCTGCGACCGTAATTTCAATCGATGAACGACGTTTCCGTAGGATGCTTGAAGAGAAGATTCGGGACATGTCAGCTGTTTTGCACTGTTTTTTTCTCACGGGCACCTGGTTTGCTAATTAAATTGAGATCAAGTGAACATTATGCATTATCCTAAGTCAAATAAAAATTTCACCGCTTTTTTTGGTCATCTGCAACAGAGAAATCAAAACGTTTATGACATAGTTTTGGATGGATAGGATTATAACATAGTTTTACTTCTGGTATAGTTTGAATTATATTTCCGTACTTAAAACATTTTTTAATCTACTATATGTTGCAAAATGATCAAGTAATTAATTTAGCAGTATAGGCCAAATGAAATCATTTTTAATAAAACTTAAACGTTAAATATTCATGGACTTTAAAAGGGAAACATTTAAGTAATATACATACAAAACTTAAGAATGAACAACATTTTTGCAATGAAACAACTATATGAGAATGGGAAAAAACATGACAAGCTATTTGTTTCCGAATATATAATACAAAATAATAACCAACAGTCATTTGCATATAACAAATCAAAGCCATAGTAATAGGTCTTTTGAAAACGCCTTCCACAGAGGAATTGGGTATAAGTGAAAAAAGTTGGGTGATGGATGAAAAATGCTTATCAAATATCCAGGCAGTGTTATTTTAGAGTGGGTTTCGGGAAATTCTTCCAGGGAATTTCTTCTTCTGTTGCTTAATGAGGTAACTATAACCTCATTAACTTACAGAAGGAATACTTCGCTAATGGCATTACGGAACAAAAGAGCATGGTATTCAATAACTGTTTCACAATTGCAGTGGTCTTTTATGTAGCCATTTCCAGCGCCTGCAGTTCAGTTCAGTAATGAAGTAGGCCCACGCCTTAATGATACTTTTTTTGTACACTTTTCCGCTGGTACGCCTTAGCTCCAGACCAGATAAACCGACACCTGGAACGGCCACGGAACGGCCCATCCTCATTCCTATGTTACAGTAAAAAAGGATTACTAATTAGCTGACCTCGTAGCGTCAACTGCTTTTCCTTGTTACCGCTAAATATCAGTCTTCTTGTACAGCCGTAGGCAGTGAATGGTGATTCGCATGAAAAATGTTTCTGTCGTTTAAAATGCTGCCCTAAACCTAGACACAATCACTGCTAAATCAAAATGCTGCCCAAAACTAGACACATTTATTTACCTAGACTAGATGAAATAGCATTTTTCGAAGTTCAAAATTTTCCAACTATCCTATAATCCTATTTTCTGTAAAGCGGATATCTTTGACATATGGAAAATTTTTCAGGTTTGTAGATTTTTTTCACTTTAGAATTTCTGACAAACGTAGTTCTTTCACAGTGCCAATTTCTGTTTAATCTGATTTTCAGTTACTACGTGACTCTAAACAGAAGAATTAGAGATGCGTATATTCAATCGGGTACCTATTTCATGTATTTTAATTATACAAATTGTAACGTCTTTATTCATCGGATTCTAACTTAGTAACGTCGCATAATAATGTTCATCTTTTTAAGTTTTGGGCACGTATAGATATAAACCTAGCATCAAAAATAGTATCTTATTGAGTAGATTGTTATATTAGTCATCGAACTGTTATAAACAATAGAGTACTGACATTATCCATTGCAGCAATATATGCTTAAACGTACAATGATTACAGTCTGAAAAAAATAATTTTCACATAATATTTCTTAGTTTGTCACGAATGTCTTATTATGTTTCAAGAGTTATTTTTATAAAGAATTCCCTCAAAAATAATAAACAGAACTACTGTTTTAAAGCATTGTTTTCTTTTGGACAATCTAATTGAATTCTGAAAGCTAATATCATATGGAAACGATGATTAATTATTATGTTGATTGCAATTTTCTTTTTGTTTTGTTAATAAGATGTTACTATTAAAACGTGTGCTCAATTTTAAAGTTGTAAATAAGCAATAGCTTGTCCGTATTCAAGTGTGAAGCAATACACTGCAAATACAGTATAGTAATCCGATGTTTCTGTTTAAACTAAGGTATATTTAATAATAATAGTAATAATAATGTATATACTGCGTTATTTAACTTACATGTGAATCAAAAATTATATTTATCGTAACATCTGTTATATTTTATCTATAACAAAATACAACATGCAATAATAAACACTAAATAGAAAAACAGTATTTTCTAACACAAAGCCTATTTTCTTAACTGTAGGTCCGACAGAAAATAGTTGAAAGCAAATCAAATGCAAAACACAGTTTTAGATATTTCATATAAAACTCAAAGATGTAGATTTTGAGAAAATTGCAATGAATGAAAATTCTTATGAAACAAATCTATTTATTTGCATTTCAGGAATACATTAGATATTTCAAGAGATATATTTTAAACAATTTCAATTTTTTAAATAGTTGAGTTTTATTGTATGCAAAACAGCAATATTGGCAGGTAAGTGTCATACGTTTCCATCGAAAGTATTAACATATATATATATATATATATCGAAAGTTATACCCCCCCCCCCCCCCACCCCCCCCCCTACCCCCCCCCCCCCCCCCCCCCCCCCCCCCCCCCCCCCCCCCCTTATACCCCCCCCCCCCCCCCCCCCCCGCCCCCCACCCCCCCCCCCCCTCCCCCCCCCCCCACCCCCCCCCCCCCCCCCCCCCCCCCCCCCCCCCCCCCACCCCCCCCCCCCCCACACGCCATATATATATATATATATAACCCCCCCCCCCCCCCCCCCCATACGCCACAACGTGGTACATAATAAGCGTTAGAAACATCTCTTTTTAACTGTGCTAATTGCATAAATATTAGTCGTCAAATAGATTAAATGGTATAAACATTAATAGCATTATTAAAAATTACATTTATATATTATTTTCAAATAGCTCAGTTTGCAATATGCAAGTATTGTTTCTCATAAATAATACGTAATCTCATAGTTGAAAAGGTAAACTAAAAATTTTACACCATGTTGCAGAATTTCAATTTGTCATGTTATTAAGAAGTAAGTAGTTAAAAATACGACTTACCTTTTTATGCGCAAATATGATGAAACTGACACCTTTTGATTTATTATCAAATAATACGTAAATATTGCATTAACTAAATGTGAAATCATTTATTTCTCAATTAGATGATCACGTTAGACTGAAATCTAAAAACTTTACTTCTGTCATCATAATCTATTATTAAAAGTACCAAATACCTTTCTTTGAGAATGATTATATTATTTTCAGGGCGGTGGTTATACAATGCACTGGTTCGATAACTATTCTGCTAGCATTTCTTTGCTATTTTCTGCTCTTTTTGAAGCAATTGGAGTAGCCTGGCTGTACGGTAATGTTATATTTTGATACTTTTTTTGTTAATTCGTGTTATTTATTACCTATACTGAATTTGTTTTAAATTCTGAAATAAATAGCGACCTAAATTATTAATTTATTCCCTTCAGTCAAGTTTAGGTTAAAATGCTGGGAAATTTAATAAAATTTAGACAAAACCATAAACTACAATTTTTAACTCTTTGCATTCGTTTGTTCCGTCTGAGGTATAGCGCCGTAAATTTAGTGTATCACTCGAATATGCCCATTCAGCGAACATTTGAACTCCGCTTATACTAGCGGAATTTTAATCCCAAGAAACGTGCGCTAAGTACGGCTCCAAGACGAAAAAAAGAGGGGGGAAAGAAATTTTTTTCAGATAAAATTGAGTATCTGTGCATTTAATGCATAGAGCAAATGAACATTCTAGGCGATAATGATATTAAAAATTCCAAGAGCGACATATTTGCCGAATACATGAGATTAACTCCGTTAAAAAGCCTTCTTAAGGAACCGTGAAGTCCGTTCACGATTCTTGGGCTCAAAGTCACCTTAAAACAAGCCTATAAATTGCATCTGAATAAATGTAGCACACCGAATAACAATTATTGGAGATCCTAGAGTAACAAGTTGCTAAAACATTATGAATATTTCCCTGATTCTTGCTTCCTTAGCACCTCCAATAAGCCTTTAAAGTTTATTAGTGATTACACTGCATAAACGTACACCAGCACGGCATTTCGGAAAATGCACGATTCCTTTAAGTTTTCTATTGAAATGTTATAAAGCATAAAACTAAAATGCCCTTTATATACCGAAATAAATAAAAAATATCAGCCAGTCTTATAGTGAAAGAGAGCATGTGAAGTGGTCGCTGTGGTCTAAATTCCATTCAGGGTATTATCATGCGATAAAATCAGTAATTCCTATGGTGTAGGTTCTCTTGAGTTTTAGCAGTAAGCTAGTGATGAAAATAATATTATCGTGAGCAGTTATTCTGTAACTATTCACTTTATTTTCATCTATTCCAAAATCTACTCCAAAATATTTCTTTATTAAAGATGTCCAGTTCATTATTTTTGTTGTCTAAACAAAGTCCGCATTTCTTCAAAAAAAAAAAAAAAAAAAAAAAAAAAAAAAAAAAAAAAACCCGATTCCAATGATGCACGGATCTGTTATATCAGATACAGAGACTGCATACTCATATAAACAGGTTTCAAATTTAATGTACACATCTAAATTTCAGTACACTGATATTTTCTTTCCGTTCATAATTCGTAGACTCAAAATTGGAGCCGTATGCAGCAGATTTCTGTTCATTTACCTGGCTACATCAACTGATAAGATAGTTACGTTTGCACAGTATCTACAGTCAGGCGGCAAGGCGATCCATTTGTTTCTCCTTCAACATTTAAGTCCGTAATTTGCGCCGTGAAATGCTGACATCTGTAGATCACTGCCATCTGAATTTTCTGTTTTCACTTATTTCTACTCTATCGTATGTTACCGATTCCTTTACTCACAGGACACTGCCTTCTTAAATGTCCTTCATTGTCGCAACTCCAATATTTTAATTCATTGTTACGGTTTCCTTGAGTCCTTCTTTTGCCTTCAGTCTTTTCGTCAGCCCCGTCACCACTCTCTAGACGACCCTTCTGCGCTGTTTATACCCCTCACAGGACGAAAGTCTCTTCTAGCTTTTCACACAGCCTTCACTTTCATGGAATACACAAGAACACGCTTCAGATCTTCTTTGTCCGCTATTCGGGGTGTCTGTTGTATATCAGAATCTATAATAGATTCTATAATACAGCCACAAAACATTAGAGATTCAGCGTGTCTTTAATTTCCTGAGTGCAGTATCTGGAAAGACCACTTGAGTTAAATTTTCAGTATCAGTCGCTAGTTCTTGAAGACACTTTCCTGCATTTTGTTGAGCGGCCTTTAAGCTTCAACCGGTGATAATCTGTCAAATTTTTCCCCAAACTGCAATTCTACAGCATTAAATAAAGCTCCAGCATGTAACCGTTTTCAGACTGAATACGTCCATAAGATATCAGCAGCATATCCCCACAAAGAAGCAGCCAAACAATAAGACTTTGGTGACTGAGATCTCACTGTTTGCCTGCGAAATCATTTCAGATTACATTTTGTATGCATTCCACTACGATTTTCTATCATACGAAGAATTATAGCATGAGATGAATATACCGGAATGTCGTTTATAGCAGGATGAGCCACAGCATCAGTCATGAAAGTATGTACAGAAAATCTGTTTACTGATAAAGCCGGTTCCGGAAATTTCTTTTCTAATATGTGAATTTCTTGTTCACCAAAGAAACTTCTTCGGTGACACGGGCGATTTCTTGGTTTACATTCTGTAATACTTTTACAAATTTTTCTTCTATAGCAACTATTTTCTCATTCGTAACACTTACAATTTCCTCTTGTACAACGGCAATACTCTACTTTATTTCAGCTGCTTCCTTTCTTATCTCAGCTGCATTTCTGTCAATGGATTTCGTCGGCATTCGCAGCTTTCTCTTTTCTCATCACAGTGGCATTCACTTCTATTTATCATTTCCGCATAACTTGAAGTTATCGTTTTCACAATTCAGATGCTCTTCCATTTTCCTAATCATTGGCATTCAAAGAAATCTATAATTTTAATTTCATTTGTTGCTATCTACGAGTTAGTGAATATTCCTTTAAGTAATCATTCCAGATGGGCAGGAAAAAAGTGTTAATTTATTATAACTATAAGTAAATACAGCAAAATAAATAGTCTAGTGAGAACACAGATTATATATAATTCCTCCTTAGCGCATGAGAAATACCATAGATTTTCAAAATCAGAGTAAACTCTATAACGCAATATAGCTAACTCATTTAACCGCTGACTGTCACAGCTAATTAGCAACTTACTCCTCCCGGTTCTCAAAGCCATATTAATATGGCATTTCGCAGGCTTCTCGAAACTTTGGGTAAAATCATTCCTGAAGCTTCGAAAATATGTTATCCTTGCTTAAAATATGCTTCCAAAGAGTGGCCAAATTAGCTAAAAGTCGCCAAATGTATCACAATACACCAAAACAGCAATGCAATCAAATTAATTTAAATACTTATAGAAACTAACAACATGCATAAGTGGTCACAAACTCGAAATTAAATTAAATAAGAATGCATTCATTACACAAAAAGCACTGAATGAATGAATAATCACCAAAATGTATGCAATATAAAATATATAAATATTAATTTGGAAATAAATAAACACAAATATTACATAAACTGCGGCAATATTATCTCAAAATGCAATCAGTTTCATTGCTTGATAGACGCAACTGAAAGAGCCAAAAGGAAATCAAATTCTTCCAACACACAGAAAAAATAGAGTCATAAAAGGGTCGCGCATTTTGTACTAGTATGCATAGTTTAATAGTGGGAAGCTATATCATTTTGGAACAATATATCAGGATGCTGAACAGAAGTATATCCTGCTGAATTTTAAAAAATATCACATTTAAAGCTGCTTATGCAATCAGACACTGTTGCAAATATTTTTTTAAAAAATGTCGTTAGTCATGATCGTAAAGCACGGTTCGAGTCATAGAGATGAGATGACTGTTTATAGTTAACCATTCTTCTTCTCGCAAGTGTAATACTTATCGACTCCTTTGGTGTACTCTGGAGAATAATATGAGTGAAGAAAAGGCTAAATGATTGGTGAGTCCGACCATTCCCAACGAGCAAGTGTTCGGCCATTGGATTAAAAGAAAGAAGTACAAATTCAGTCATTAAACGTCACAGTTCTGTATCGAAGACAAGTATGATTAAGCAAAAGAATAGTGTAAGAAAATCAAAGTTCGATCCCTGCACCAATTTTCGCTTTCCTCTTATCTCAAAATGTTCTGGCAGATTGTATAATACATTCAGAAAAATATTTCGCTACTTAAAAGAGAGAGATTCGTAATGATCTGCCTCGACATGAATAACTTTTTTCTCTAAAACTAGCAACTGATTGAAAAAAAATTTTGCCTAATATTCAACTTCAACAACCAAAACTTCTAACTGACGTACTTTCCAGCTATATCATGTTTTGCATCAGTTTTTTAGTGTTTGACGTTAATCAAATTTCTTTGTGATCTCTAAAGTTTTACTCTTTAATCTTGTATGCTTAGGTATAGGTCCATTTAGTGAAAATATTCGAGAAATGATCGGACACAAGCCAGGAATCTTTTGGAGGTTATGTTGGAAGTTCATCAGCCCTGCATTCCTAATCGTAAGTTAATTATGTAATGTTTATCCTTACATATTCTTATTCTTAATCATTTGACAAAAATCGCGAAAAAATTTAGCGTTATTGTTTACATGTTCATTTTTATTACTACGAATTACTAACTGTAAAAATTACAAATTCTACTGTAAGTGTATTTAACTGTATTATATATTTTCATTATTAATATTTGAATTTTTTTTATCTAATATATGGATTTATGCTCTGAATATATAGTTATTTAAATTATCTTTGAATTAATGTCGCGTACATATTAATGTATATTTAACCTTGAATAATTTAACCTTGTGCTTATTGCCGTACTTAATGCGTTATTTTGATTTTTTTATCAATAACTCTGTTAATTGTTTATTGTCACAATTAATGTATTATATAGCTGATTGTGCTAAGCATATCCATGTAACTTAGCCATGCCTTGTATCTGTATTGTAAATATCTACAGAACTCATTAGTCGTTTATGTTGTGGATGCCTATTAATTTTATTGTTATTGTTGTGGAGTCCTATTTATTTAAAACTGTATATCGATCTCTAGCCTCTGTACGTGCGGAAATTCAATTTGTTCTCCTAACCAGCATTGCACCCTTTTTCCATCCCTGAGCTATTCATTCGTCCAGCACTCGCCAGACTCCCTTCGGACTTTTGAAAAGAATAGAAAAACATCAGTTTCTACTTGACCCCTCACCAAAAATAGTCTGGACAGTTTGCAGTCCAGGAAATTTTGAAACAAAGCAAAGGCATGAAGAATTTGAAGCGAGAAAGCATCCTTGAAATTTTGTGGCCGATCAGCGGGACCACCTGGCCGATATGCCCCAGTGTATTAGCTGACTGCCTTCAGTGGAAAGAAAGCTCTTTACTTGAAGAAGCTTATCTATGGACACTATGAAATAAATTGCTCCTTTATTTCTGTTTAAAAATAATAGATCCAAATTTCCTTTTTAGTTTGAATCTCTAATAAACTGTTAGTCATTATTCTTCAATGTTTCATCTTAAATGATACCAGTTCTCATAAGTTAACTTTGTCTGTTTGATAGATGATGAAGCATCTAAACATGAACAGTCGAAGATTGTTATGAAGAATACCGTTAATTTTCCTCAAGTTAATTTTCAGTATCTCGTGTGTTTGCCAGTGCATGATGTCTATTATCTTGTTTCACTAGATTTTTCATAGTATCAGCATTTTTAAGCATTACTTGGCTTAAAATGGTGGCGTCTGCTCTGAGAATCGACGTAAGGAGAAATTTTACTTCTTTGTAATTCTATGAAGAGCTAAATATGCAGCAAGCCAATGTTTTAAATTCTTATCATATTTACACGAATTCAGAACTCCATACGTACTGTTATCGAGAGCCATTCTTGCGCGAATAACTGCAATTACTGCGCTTTAACGACTGAAAAGAACAAAATGAATGCTTTATAGTGCCACCTGATGTTCGGTTAAAGGTAAAAGCTGGCCTATAGGATAGAGGCAGACAAATATGAACAAAACGTTTATCCAGATCTAAAAAATTTCTAAATGTCTTATGTATGAATAAAACATTTTCGATATAAATTTGCTTTATATTTAACAAATTGACCGAGGTTCGAATCCCGCGAACGGGCTGGCTGCATGGGTGTTTTCGTGGTTTTCCCCATGTGTAACGTGTATACGAGCCAGTTTCCCTTAGAAAGTCCTCCACGAAGGCATCCCTCCCCTTAGGCAAAATAATCTTTGAGTGCTTTGCCATAATTAAATATACCAAACCAAGTCCATTGAAAAGATGTTCAGTTAAAGAGTTATATTTTAAGGCAAAGAGAACTACAAAATGCAGTTGGTCAACTTTTTGTATATTCGGTTTTCTTGGGTACAAAGAGCATAGTGAATTTTCTGGTACTTTCTCGAAATCAAAAAGATATTTATTAAATGTTTAATGCACGCGCTCTTGTATTTTCAATTTTCCGGCTTAGCTTTCTTTTAATATTCGTCACGCGCTGCACTGCGCGGGAAATAAAACCATTTAATTTATAACTGAACTAACATTAGCTTTTTAAATACCGAATTCGTAACACTGCCCCCTTCCCAAGGACTGCACGTCCCGGGCAGTACGATCCCTGGACAGGAAGTCAAACTTATAACTTAGGCATAAAGGCAACTTAGGCATAAACATTACATTACAATATTAAACTACATAACAATAAATGCAATAACTAACTTAAACAAATCAAATGCTATCAAATACTAAATACAAAACAAATACAAAATACAAATCAAATACAAAAATACAAATCAAATACAAACTAGAAATCAAATCAAAAACACATTTATAAACAAAAAGGATCATGGTCTTACACTATTTACAATTATTTACACTACGTACTATGGCCATAGTAATGAGCTAACCTGTCGTAATGAACGACTTTAGGTTTAGAGTTCGAAGACTTACGGATCTGAACCACGACGTCATTCAGCCTGTTTAGGACTGTGTGCGGACCAAGCCAAGGTGACTGTAATTTAGGTTTGACTCCTTTTCGTCTAATCGGGTTCCACAACCACACCTTGTCTCCTTTGTTGGATCTATGTCAAGTAGCTATCGTGTTGTATCTGGACTTCACTTTCTCCGTCGCCAGGTTGACTCGCTTTCGTGCGGAACGGTGCATCACTTCAAAACGGGCCTGGACATCTTGGATATATTCTTCAGGCGATGAAGGCGCATCCGTATGGCGATCAAACAGGCGGTCACAAAGCAGACGAAGGTAACTACCGAAGAGCTGGGGAATAGCTGGTAGTCTTGCGTTTCTTTCCGACCCTAGTATGATTTTGGCAGCTTTCCGAGCTGGGTCTTTCGGACAAGGCGTCGGCATTTCCAAGTGAGGATCCCTTCCGAGGATGTATAGTCATGTCATCAGATGCTGAAAGCGAATTCCGCGAATTCGCTACAGTTAACAGAGCAGTTTTCTAAACAAACTCTTAAAACAACAACAAACTAAGTAACTACTACGAACTTTCCAAGTTCCGCTGGATGCGGCGCTGATTAACTTGCAGGATTTGCAAGTTTTGTTCCGGCTGTTTGAGTTAGTTGCTATAAAGCGCTGAAAGTAGGAGAATGCATGAGTGAGACCTAAGTCAGGATTGCAGATGATGAGAGGGCGTGACTACCTTGTCACGTGAGGTGTGAAGAAGTCGTAAACACGTTGCGAGATTTCAGGTTAGAAATGCTGAAGAAAACATTAAATGTACAAATTTTCAGAAATAATTACATAAAAACATAAAACATTACATAAAAGGGAAATTTTTCTAGTAATCATCAGAGTAACAACATATGGAATAAACCAAATTTCATCACATAATACAGTCTAGTAGTACTGTAAGTTGAAGTTCTGAGTCCATGATAACGTGATCGGAGTGGTATACTACGAACTGTGAGGTTTTCCTCCTTTTATAAGATTTTAAAATCGCGCACGAGAATTTTCTAGTACTTTCTCGAAATCAAAAAGAGATATTTATTAAATGTTACATGCACGCGATCTTGTATTTTCAATTTTCCGGCTTGGCTTTCTTTTAATATTCGTCACGCGCTGCACTGCGCGGGAAAATAAAATTAATTAATTTACAATTCAACTAACATTAGCTATTTAAATACCAAATCCGTAACAATATCTATATCTCTCAGAGGATGAAATACAGTCTGCACAACGCTTACGCATTCTGAGAATCAAATTATCGAGCTGATCTTGTGGAAGATTACTCCACTTAGCAAGCAGTGCTCTCCGAAGTTCCAGTACACATGTAGAAGGTTCTTGACGGGCTGGAATTCGTCAACCAAGCATATCCCACACATGCTCTATTGGACTCAAGTCAAGTGAGAGTGCTGGCCATTTCATACGGGTGATATCCTCAGACTAAAGCCATTTCTTTACAATGTTTGCACAGTGAGGACGGCGATGTCATCCATAAACACAAATTCTGCGTCCATTGTACCCCCTAAACAAATGTACATGCTGTTCCAGTATGATGTCCCGATAAATTTGGCCTTTCATAGTTCCGATCTGAACATGCAGATCTGTTCTAGAGCCCAGTATAATTCCAACCCAAAAGATCAACCCTGAACCACCGTAACGGTGTCGTTCAATGATGTTGTCTCGGTGATAACGGGTACCTGGAGTTCTCCATATGAAAATCCGATCTAAATCAGACTGAAATCTAAACCTGGACTCTTCAAAAAACATCACACAAGCCCATTGTGAAAATGTCTACATTGCATGTTCTCTACTCCAGCCTAACCGCTGGCGACAATGAGTTGCCTTGAGCGGAACACATCTGACAGGCCTACGAGCATATAGACCAAGCTGTCCCAAACATCTGAACAAGGTTTGCATTGAAACTATCGTACCCGTGGCTGAAGACAGTTGATGAGATAGGTCGGATTCTGTGCGTAACGGTCGGTGACGTACTATCGGCGTCATCTGATGACTTTCTGTAATTTGCATGCTATTCTTGAAGATGTGTGCGATAATTGTACGGGTGAAATTTTTACTTTAGAGTTCGATTTCCGTGAGATTCTGAATTATCCTTAATTTATCGACATGAGTATAATTAAATAAAAATGAAATATCCTAACTTAACTTAAGCTTCCAAAAAGACCTACTGCACGCAAATTTGAAGATAAATAATTATTTTAAGATTACTGTCATTAATACTTTATAATAAAGTCTATTACGGTATGTTTTCAATGATTGACATACATTCTTTTGCAGGCAGTTATAGGATCGGCCATCTTCAATAATTCTCCCTTAAAGTATCAAGATTACCTTTATCCTACATGGGCTGTTGCACTTGGTTGGGGATTTGCCTTGTCATCCGTCGCAATGGTGCCAGCCGTGGCCTGTTATAAACTCTGCAAAGCACGTGGTTCCTGCGTTGAGGTTAGTTCGTTTCATTTATTTGGGGACCTAATATTAAATTCAATTTCCGTTTCATTTATTTGGGGACCTAATATTAAATTCAATTTCCGTTTCATTATAATGATACGACTATAATAGTGGTTGTCCAGTTAGTTAATAACAATATACAAAGTGTAACAGAATTTATAGTCATCACTTTAAATACTAATAGAAACATGGAAAAAGCAACAATTTTCGTAACACGCGGCGTGTTAGAAAATTAAATGTGAATAAGGAAATATAAGAAATATGAAGAATACAAAAATTTAAAAATATTTTTAATCACGGATATTTGCAAATAAATATTTACAAAAATTGTCCAAATGAATGATTAGCAACTGCAGCACTAATTCCTGTGTAGTATGTGACCAGTAGTATGGCATATTATCTTTTTGAAAAAGCGCTTTATTCTATGTGAACTAGCACATAAAGGGGTATAAACAATTGGCCAGCAATTCAAAAGTAGCCCGAGCTCGTCAGAGTTCAATCCAGCCTAATGAGAAGATCCAATGAGGAATATGTAAAGATGGACCAGACAGTTACACCGCCACCATCGACATCTACAGTGCCTGTCTGATACGAAGGATAAAGTGCTTTGTGCGGTTTAATGACGCTCACGAACTCTGCTATCCGCCACAGCAGCTGGGAATCTCGATTCGTGGATAAGATGACACATTTCCAATCCTCTACCTCATCAGTCGAAGTCTTTTCGTTAGCGACCGAGATGACCGTTGGCTGCTGTAATCAAATTGTATCAGTTGCCAATGAGTATTACTTGTGCAGACGCTAGCCGAAGAAACTTTGTTTCATTAATCCACATTAAAATCTGACATACGTTTCCGCTTCTTACCATCCACAATATACATTTAAATCTCCGAGCGCCTCTTACATCAAACGCTACTTTACGACCGCATTTGACTGTAATCACACTGGTTTTTTGCTTTTGAGGTACTGTTGGTATCTGTGCACAGTACCGCGTTACCTGCTATGAGTAGCAAATAACTATTCACAGAAAGTCTGCAACTTACATGGTAAAAATTTCCCGTAAAATGCTAAATATCACAAGTCTTAGACAGGCAGTACAAAACACAATATTATTACGTAGAATTCTAGACATGATAGTTTTTTTAAATTACCGTATCAAATTTAAAAAAAAAAAAAAAAAAAAACTCCCTTCGCTCTTGGGAAAAAATATTCTTTTTAGTGTTATTCATAAGAAGATCCAGAAAGGTAGCTATGTTAAAAAGTTCACCTGATTTGTCTTAGTTTCTGTACCCGTAAAGATAACAAAGCATGGACCAATCAGTTTCCATCCCCTTTTCCCCACCCTCCAGAAAATTTTGATTAATGATATTTTTTTTTTTTTTTTTTTTCAAAAGTATCTTCCTCTCTGTTTTCCTCATATTTATGATAAGTTTGGTAAATTTACCTGTTGCGCTACTTAAATTTCCTCATAGCATTTATTATTTTGCTGTAAAACGATGACATTGTTTCACGGTCTTGCTCTCCGTGAGGAGGCCAAAATATAATTTTATTCACTTCCTATTTTGCGTTAAGTATATTAATAATTGCACAGTTGTGAATGTAATTTTAAATAAGTTTTTGTCGGATTTTTACCTTTCTCTAATAATTTCTGGATTTTTGGAATATATGAGTATGTAATGATTTGCGTATTACGCAGTTAAATGTTGAAGCACACACTGCTGATCCCTAGTGAAGAATAAGCTTCAGTCTTCTAGATGCAATAAGATGCAGCAGTAGCAGATTTAACTAATATTTCCTTATTATAACGAAACATTTTGCGACCATAAACAACTTGGCACTCTAATCGTTCCTATTCCGAAACATTTACGTTTGGGGATCTTTGCGGTAAGAAGAGAAGCAGCAAGCAGCAGTCTACCCTGCCTGAGGAGAAGAAGCAAATTGCTTAGTTATTCAAGATGAAATCGTAATTCAGTATAGGTTAGTTGCGGTTTCGATGCATTTTGATTGGATAAGTAATAATGCTGTAAAATTATTATTGGCTGTTTCAGTTTTAGTTCGATTTATGTCATCAGCGCTGTGTAAATGTTATATTATATAGATTAATTTAGAAATGATGCAGTCAGAAAAAGTTACATAAGCAATTACTATTTTTAGAACAGAAAGGAAAATATACAAAATAAATGAAGAATTAAAGAGCTATTGCTAATTAAAGTTATAATTTTATTTACATGGTTTTTTATCTTATATACAAACTCTAATGGTAAGCACCACTCTAAAGACCAATTATGAAAGCAGCCTGTATCTCGTATTATTTAATTAAATTTTGGAATTGCATATAAACGAAAATCGTATTTTTTGAGATGACTATCACTAGGAAATATCAAAAGCGTTTGAAATCGTTAGTAATTACCTTAAAGAGGTTTCAGCTTCTTCTGATCAAACGTTCTCCGACAGTTTTCATATCATTTTTATCTACGCTCAATAATTTGAATTTCTGAGACACATGGTTTTGTTTATCGGTATAATATTTTACTGAATTTATTTCTTTATTGGTTAATGTACGGCTGCATTTCTTAAACAGTAAGTTATGCTAATTAGCTTAATTTACCATCATTTAAAATTCCTCCATTGTTTTACTTTCATGTTCATATTAGTATTATAATTATTAACAGTTCTTTTAAATCATCTTTTCTCACAATTTCATCTTCAATAACTTTACAAAACTGTCATAATTTCTATATTTCTTATTAAAGGAAACCTTTATTTGTATTACATTTTTACGTAATGTCCCTTTCTTTGCAGCGTATTGCTTATACTATAACACCATATCCAGAGAGAAAAACATATAAAGAAACAGGAACTGTTACGAGATTTAAGGTAAGTTTAACAATTTAAATGTCATTGAGTTCATGAATTTAGATATGGAATTACGCTTAGTTACAAATATCAGGTGTGGTCAGCTTGTTTTATGTGAATGGTCAATTATTTTACATTAAAAATAGCTGCAATTAAAATAACGTTTTAATGAAAATATATGAATGTGAAAGGGAAACAAAATTTAATTTCAAATTGGATATGTTTTTAAATATATAATTTATTGAAATTATTAAATGAACAGAGAATAATTCAAAACGTACATTTTAAAATTTAGTGCAAAGAAATAATTTTTAACTAATCAGAAGATTTTCTTTTAACGTAATTCATAAATTAAAGATTTATGAAAACGAACTTCAGATTTTTTAGTCAGCGAACAGCAATAGAAAGGAATTATTGAATCAGTATGAAAATCTGCAAGAAACATGCAATATGAATGGTTGCTTAAAAGAAATTTACTGCCAAAAACTGCTCATCGATTAACATCATCTGCAATGCAATCAACACTATTTCAACTGTGAAGACAAGATATTTGTCAAACAGAATGAAGACTTCAGATGTGATAAAACAGAACAAGTACTACAGAGCTATCCAAAGAATTTTAAATCAAACTCTAAGAACTGGTATAGACATTTAACTATTATATACAGTAATTACCGTAGGTAGGTACGTCTTACCCTAGGTTCCAATAATTATAACATGTGCAATTTAAAACATAATTTTAAATATTTAGACACAATTTTACTTATAAATGTATAATTCGAAGCCCCGTTTCCATTGAAAACATCAAATGTATTTGCATTTAGTTTAAATACTTTTTTTTTTTTTTTTTTTTTTTTTTTTTTTAAGTCCAAAAAGCCTTTGTCCCTGAAGGACTATTGTTTTCGTTTTGCGATTTTGGGTTGAAAACTTTAAAAGGCTGTATCAAATCGTTGCCACCAAATACTAATGTATGTATGTTTCTTGCATTGTGATAAAACAACGGTACATAGAGCCATCGAATTTTTAATGGTGTAATCCTCCTGCAAATATGGGCATGTGGAAGACCAAATTTGGAATTTGTTTTATGATCGATTTCATATTTTGTAAAACTTTAACGAATTTTTGATTAACAAACTCAAGGATATCAAAGCGAGCAATGGCAACGTTGTACAGAAAAAAACATTTTTATCTTCAGCGCGCGAGACTCCGTATCGGAAATTCTAAAGATATGCTCAATTTAAAACTATTTTGCGATATTGCTTTTGAACTGAATTTTATGGTTTAAGTGCGAAGAACGTGATATTTAATAAATAAAGGTAGCGGACAAAATGTTAAAAAAACGCCCCTTTGGACGTAATTTAAAATCTGAAACCTTTCAGATTTTTTTTTTTTTTTTTTTTTTTTTTTTTTTTCTTTTTTAGTTAAGTGATCGAAAATTTATAAAGTATATATACTTGTAATTATGCTTTCAGTATTTTATTTAGTTATATTGTTATGTTTATTTAGTTGTTTTAAGTGTATTGTATTTATATATGTGATAATAACTTGGAGAGATGCTGCATAATTAGAAAGATCACACTCGATGGAGAGACTGGTAGACCTACCGAACATATAATCTTTATTGCGGGACGCAAACTAATTATTGAAAACATATTTTTTATCACACATTATCATGGGCTTAACACACAGGCAACAATTTTATGTAGAGTATCGCATTTTAAATAACGGCGTAGTTAGCAGCACGACAAAGCAACATCAGCAAGTCACGCAAGATGAAATGACCTGGAAATGATGCAATGCAGAGAAGTTATTACGATTTTTAGAACAGAGAGGGAGAATTAAAAAGTTATCGTTAGTTTAAATTATAATTTTGATTTACATATTTTTTATCTTACATGCATATATTTATGTTATTGTACTGAATACACTGTACATACTTTTTTATCATAATTTATTTACTAAATAATATTGATTATATTATCTCCTAAGTTGAATTATACGTATACTATTGAAGATTACTCTGTAAACACAAAAAACTACTGTATATGAGCAGAATTTCCGCCAGCTGCATACTAATGTATGAATCTGCTATTAATATACGCCCGACAGAGCGTCCTTAGGGACCTCAAGAAAGGAGCTGGTATCTCCAGATAATGGAAGATGTGGGATAAATACCTGCTTACCTTGTTAGACATCAGGTATTCCCATCTCCCTTCACCTCTCTTGATCAGATTGGATTATGACAAAACTCGCGAGGGCTGTTTGACGTAGGAAATGGATGCCTTCTTGGACAACATATTAAATAAAACCGTCTTGTATTCGCATTACGCGTGAGGAAAACTGCAAAAACTCCCATGCAACTAGCCCATTCACCGAGATTTTCATTTTCTTCATCATAATTAAACTAAAATCCCATTTCAATAGCTGATTTCATTGTATCAAAATAATAATTAATATTCTTTATATTTCATAATTCAGTATGATGCACGTTAGATACGTAATATTACAGATCAATAGCACAGGCGGATAAGGCGATCGGAAATTCGGAAAATTTCCCGAGGTGTCGGTGGCCGTAAGTTCATCAGCCGATATTGATAGCTTAAAAAAAATATGAAACATTAATTATAATTGCAGGGTTCATGCAATAAAAAGCAATAAACTCACTGGAAGAAAATGATTTAATGACACTTAAAAAATTAAATATAAATAAATAAATAAATTTGAAAGATAAGCTAATTTTAAACATATTCAATTCATAACCTTCATTTCATCTTTATTTTGCGATAATTAATGTGTGTAAACTATTTATTGTGTATAATTTTATTTGTGCAAGTGCTCTGCTTTATATTTGTGCAATTTGTTTCAAGTTAAAAGAAGTATTGTTAATATTATGGCTCTTGCAAGATTTCGGTATGGTTAACCCTAGCTTAACAATTTGTTTACTTCTTTGAGTAGTGCTACGAAGTAAAAGAATGCCAAGATGGACGAAGACGATGATGTGTTTTATAGTGCGCTTAAATGTTGCTATGATAAACTTGAAACGGCTATTGAGTCAAAGTGTAATATGAACCAGAATATTCGTGAAGAGGCAAGGCATGCAATGTGTGAGTTAAAGTGTTTGATTACTAAGAATTTTGAACGTATTAAGTCGTTGGGTTACCGCGAAGCTTGTAGGGAAAGTCTTAGACATTTTCGTAAAACCAACGTATGCTAGTGCTGTGCTGCCATCTCCTGTGGAGAATGCAAAACAAAATTCTTTAAGTTGTGGTCTTGGTCATTTCTTTCTTCGGAAAAAATCGTTCGTCAGAGGATATTAAGAAGATTCTTAAATTACAATTAATCCTGTAGAGAAAAAAGTGGGTATTCTCAATCTAAAAAATATTGGAAATGGCAAGGTATTGATAGAATGCCCCTCTGAAAATGATTTAAAAAGGATACAAACTGAAATTCAAGTAAAATCACCGGGGAATTAACTACCTTTCCTTCCAAACGCAGGAATCCTACGATCTTAATAAAAAATGTCCCTAATGAGATAAGGGATGAGGATGTTCTCGATGTTTTAAAAAATCAAAATCCAGATGTTATCGCCTCTGAAAATAAATGGAGTGAATCTCGAATTCGATTTACGTTAAGGAAATTTCAAAATACGAGACATTTAGTTGTTGAGGGTGCATCCAGACATGCGTAGAGGTATTTTACAGAATGTAGACTAAAAAATTTCTTGGAGGCATCTGTACGGTGGATGATTTTGTCCTGATTAATCGGTGGTGTTTTAATTGTTTAGGATATAATCATCACCGTGCTGAACACTGTAAAAATCTACGTGTGCTTGTATTTTCTGTGCACGTGAACATGAAAGTAAAAATTGCCCACATAAGAATTTGAAAGTGTCTATCAATTGCATTAGACGCAATCAAAAATAAAAGATGAGAAAAAAAAATTAAATGTAAGCCATTTGCCTTTTTCTGAAAGTTGCTCTTGTCATGAATTTATAAGAAGTCAAAATATAGCAAGAACAAATTATGGATAATAGTCATAATTTATTTTAAAATTTTTTCAAATTAATTTACATAGATGTAAGGCTGCTACTCAGCAACTTGTTTTGAATATGGAGGTAAACAATGTTTCTGTTGCTTTTATTCAAGAACCTTACTCTCTTATCATGGTCTTATGCCTGGCTTTTCCGAGTTCCTTTAGGTTATACTATGATTTTAAACTCAGAGGTCATAAAGGCTGCTATTGTTGTTCGAGCCGGATTTCTACCTACTTTTTTGGATTTGAGATTCTTGGATTATAATATGGTGACTCTTGATATTATTTTTAAAGATACTAAATATTTTCTATTTTCATACTACTTTGAGCCCTCCCGATGTATTGAATTTGATTTGCATAAAAATAAGTCGGGTCTTCCAGGCTAAGGATCTTGCAAAGCTTATTTGGGGTATGGATTCCAATAGTAAAATCTGAACTGTGGTTTAGTCCCTACAGTGATGCTCGAGGAAACAAGCTTGGAGATTTTGTCAGCTCCTATAACTTATATGTGATCAATGAGGACTGTGGCCCTACCTTTTGTTCGGAACAGGGATCAAGCTATATAGATGTCACAATTATGGGAGCTGATTTGCTAGCAAATGTTACCCGCTGGTGTCTCTCGGACTGTGAATCATTGTCAGATCATGCAATGATTGAATTCGACTTATCTGTTTCTGATGCTTCTTTAATTGCTGTCAGTAGAATTTTGTTTAATACAAAAAAAGCAAATTGGGGATATTTTGAAAATATTGTTTACAGTATATTTCTTTGATCATTAATGGTTTTGGATTCTTGCTTGAGCACTGACTCACTTAATGCGATTGTAGATTTATGACTTCAGTTATTTTTCGGGCATGTATTAAATCTATGCCTATTAGAAGGACTGGTAGGCGAAAAGTACCTTGGTGGTCATTGGAAATTTCCATTATGAGAAAGAGAGTCAACGCGGCTAGACTGAGGTTCCAGAGGACTACTAGCAATGATATAAG